CCTGACTTCCGGCTCTATTACAAAGCTGTCATCATCAAGACAGCATGGTACTGGCACAAAAACAGACACATAGATCAATGAAACAGAATAGAGAGCCCAGAAATGGACCCTCAACTCTATGGTCAACTCATCTTTGACAAAGCAGGAAAGAATGTCCAATGGAACAAAGACAGTCTCTTCAACAAATGGTGTTGGGAAAATTGGATAGCCACATGCAGAAGAATGAAACTGGACCATTTCCTTACACCACACACAAAAATAGACTCCAAATGGTTGAAAGACCTCAATGTGAGATAGGAGTCCATCAACATCCTAAAGGAGAACACAGGCAGCAACCTCTTCGACCTCAGCCGAAGCAACTTCTTCCTAGAAACATCGCCAAAGGCAAGGGAAGCAAGGGCAAAAGTGAACTATTGGGATTTCATCAAGATAAAAAGCTTTTGCAAAGCAAAGGAAACAGTCAACAAAACCAAAAGACAACCGACAGAATGGGAGAAGATATTTGCAAATGACATATCAGATAAAGGGCTAGTATCCAAAATCTATAAAGAACTCATCAAACTCAACACCCAGAGAACAAATAATCCAATCAAGAAATGGGCAGAAGACATGAACAGACATTTTTCCAAAGAAGACATCCAAATGGCCAACAGACACATGAAAAAGTGCTCAACATTGCTGGGCATCAGGGAAATCCAAATCAAAACCTCAATGAGATACCACCTCACACCAGTCAGAATAGCTAAAATTAACAAGTCAGGAAACGACAGATGTTGGCGGGGATGCGGAGAAAGGGGAACCCTCCTACACTGTTGGTGGGAATGCAAGCTGGTGCAGCCACTCTGGAAAACAGTATGGAGGTTCCTCAAAAAGTTGAAAATAGAGCTACCATCTGATCCAGCAATTGCACTACTGGGTATTTACCCCAAAGATACAAAAGTAGGGATCTGAAGGGGTACGTGCACCCCGATGTTTATAGCAGCAATGTCCACAATAGCCAAACTGTGGAAAGAGCCAAGATGTCCATCGACAGATGAATGGATAAAGAAGAAGTGGTATATATATACAATGGCATATTATGCAGCCATCAAAAGGAATGAGATCTTGCCATTTGCAACGACGTGGATGGAACTGGAGGGTATTATGTTGAGTGAAATAAGTCAAAAAGAGAAAGACATGTATCATATGATCTCACTGATATGAGGAATTCTTAATTGCAGGAAACAAACTGAGGGTTGCTGGAGTGGAGGGTGGGAGGGATGGGGTGACTGGGTGATAGACACTGGGGAGGGTATGTGTTCTGGTAAGCGCTGTGAATTGTGCAAGACTGTTGAATCTCAGATCTGTACCTCTGAAACAATGCAATATATGTTAAGGAAAAAAAAAGAAGAAGAAGGTAGCGGGAGGGGAAGAATGAAGGAGGGGAAATCGGAGGGGTAGACGAACCATGAGAGACGATGGACTCTGAAAACCAAACAGGGTTCTAGAGGGGAGGGGGGTGGGAGGATGGGTTAACCTGGTGGTGGGTATTGAGGAGGGCACATTCTGCATGGAGCACTGGGTGTTATGCACAAACAATGAATCATGGAACACTTCATCTAAAACTAATGATGTAATGTATGGGGATTAACATAAGAATAAAAATAAATAAATAAATAAAAAAGATTTAATTTATTTAAACTAAACAAAAACAAAAACATTTTACCCATTTCTTCCATCCCTCAACCGCCACTTCTGGGGGGTTATAAATATATATATGTTTACATTCCACATGTAAGAGAGATCTTACAGTATTTGTCTTCCTTTGTCTAACTTATTTCATTTAGCATAATGCCCTTGAGGTCTATCCATTCATATTGTATTTATGACTAAGTACCTGTGACTGCTTTTGCATTACAATGCCCAGGGTCTTTGCAACAGAGACCATAGGGCCCACTAAGCCTAAAATCTTCATTATCTGGCCCCTTAAGGAAAAAGTTTTCTGTCCTTGCTCTAATTCTAAGTTTAGAAGAAATATAAGAGACAGAGGAACATGTTTGAGTAACACCATGGAGATGTAATCAGCAAAATTCAAAATGTGGAAAACTCTATAAGACAAACAACTTAATTTCTTTAACAAATAAATGCTAGTAAAAGAATTTTTTTTAAAAGAGTGAGAGAGGGAAACTTTAAGAGACACATCAACTTAATGCAATGTGTAGGCCTTTAAGAAAAATCCTGATTCAAAAGTCAACTTAAAAATATGTATGAACAGGGCATCTGGGTGGCTCAGTCAGTTAAGTGTCCAGCTCTTGATTTCAGCTCAGGTCATGATCTCAGGGTTGTGAGATCGAGCCCTTTGTCAGGCTCCATGCTTGTGCCTGTTTAAGATTCTTTCTCTCCTCTCCCTCTGCCCCGCCTCTGCTCACACACTCTCTCTCTTAAAAAAAAAAAAAGTTTAAATATATGTATGAACAATCAGAGATGTTTAGTATTGACTGAATTTTGATAGTATTAGAGAATTACTGTTAATGATTCAGTTGTAATAACAGCACTGTTTTTTTTTTTTTTTTAAAGATTTTTCTTTATTCATTTTTTAGAGAGCGAGCGAGAGAAACAGCATGAGAGGGGAGAGGGTCAGAGGGAGAAGCAGGCTCCCCGCTGAGCCGGGAGCCCGATGTGGGACTCGATCCCAGGACCCTGGGATCATGACCTGAGCCGAAGGCAGACGCTTAACCATCCGAGTCACCCAGGCGCCCCAACAGCACTGTTTTTATGTTATTCTTTTAAAGAGTCCTCGCTGTTATGGGGTGGGGAGGGTAAGAAAAGTGGGTATATGCAAAGTAACAATGGCCAGCAAAAGGACAGCTAACTTCTGGTACACAAATCACACTAAATAAAGGGCATTTATTTAGTAGGCTATAGTTACTTATATAATATTATAGTTACCTATAACATATGGGTAAATGGGAGTTCATTAACCTAGTCTCCTACTTTTGTATGTTTTTGATATTTTTCTTAATATAAACTTTTACAAGTACCAACATTTTAGGAGAAATTATAAAAATGTATTGAGCGACATTAAGAAAGACATTAAGAAGACCAAAAAGAAGAGGTAAACTATGTTTATAGTTGAAAGACTCAATATTGCAAAACTGTCAGTTCTCCCCAAATTGAGTCCCAGTAGGGCTCACCTCAGGTTTGTCAGCATCCCAGTGGGGGTTTCCTGTCCCAGGTAGCAATTCCCTGCTAATTAGTCTTATCCTCTAAACTGGAAGAGCTCTGTCTCAGGCAACCCAGAGAACTTCTTCACCATCTAGGTGCCTGCAATCCTACACTCTCCGGTGAGGTTTGAAATCCAGCCTTGGGTCCACATTTGCTTGTCCCTTAGATACTCTCCTTCAGCCCTAGGGTCTTTTGAGTTCTTTTTTATGGACTTTTGGTAGCTAATTCCCTATAAATAGTTAATAATTTTTTGTATTTAACAATAATCCAAAATGCTGTGTGGTTTGTTGTCTTCTGAGTGGACCTGACTGAAACACTAGTAGAACTGAAGTTGTATAACATATAGGACCCAACAATTGTGTGTGTGTGTGTGTGTGTGAGAGAGAGAGAGAGAGAGAGAGAGAGAGAGATACAGACAGACAGAGGCAGAGAGAGAGAGGGGAACTTGCACATGTATGATAAAGTAGAAATACAAGAATATTCACAGCAGTGTTGTTCAGCATAATCTAAAACTGAAAATAAATCCAATAATCTGTCAATAGGAGACAGACTAGCTGCAGTATGTGAAAGAAAGAGAGGAGTCAAGGATATCGCCAAGATTTCTAAACTGAACAACTGGAAGATGAGAGCTGCCATTCCCTGAGATAGGAAAGTCTGCAAGAGGAGCAGGTTTTGGCATTGGAGATAATATCAGAAGCCAGTTTTATACATATTAAGTTTGAGATGCATGTTAGGCATTCAAATGGAGGTGTCAAGTAGGCAGTTGGATACACAAGTCTGGATGACCCTGCCTGGGTTATGGTTGAAATTATATGTTTGCAGGTCCTCAGCATTCGGAGTCCTTACAATCAAGGGATTGGGTAATGCCACCAAATGAGTGAGTGTGGATAGGAAAGAGAAGAGGGCAAAGGACTGAGCTTTGGGATAGTCTTCTTGGATGACTGCCATTATCTCCTCACTCCACCTGCTTTGGTGGTCATTCCCACCCTCCATTCCCATCCCAAAAAGGTCATCTTCTCTTACCATCCAGAGTGATCTTCTAAAAGCATGATTCAGGTTATATGACTCTACTGTCCGAGCCTCTTCAGTGGCTTCCTGTTGCTTGTAGACTAAAGTCCAAACTCCTCACCAAGAAGATCTGGCTCCTCCCCTTGCCTCTACCTTCCTTGACTCTTTCTTTCCCTGTTCTCTACAGACAGTTCCTTCTGCTATGTAGTGCTACTTATTCCTCAAATACATGGATCTTTCTCAGGGCATTTGTGCTAGCTGTTCCTTCAGCCTGGATGGGGAGCCTCATCTTTGCAGGGCTTCTTTGCTCCTTCTCTTAATTCAAATTTCAGCTCGAAATGCCACTTCTTCATAGAATCCCTTTCCTGAGCACACTCTTTAAAGTAATTGTCCACTAGCCACTTGAACAGGTCACTCAATAGCACTTTTTCATGGCACTGATATATGACATTATCTTATTTATTGGCACATTGTCTGTCTCCCGTACTAGAATCTCAGCTCCCCCATGGCAGTGACATGGTCTTGTTTACTATTGCGTATTCCCAAAACCTTGAACAGCAATGCTACCTGGTAGACAGTCAATAAATATTTGTTGAATAAATAAATGCATGACTTACAGGATTTTGCATCCTTCTTAACATCCTTTTTAGCTTCCAAATTTAAGGAGAGAAGCCTGCACAGCCATTTTTTCTTTGTCCAGGCTTCATCTTTCTTCATGTCCTTTTACTTCTTCACCAGCTCCCCCATGGTCACAAAAGCCCAACGGTGCTGTAAAAATATTAGAAAGAATACTTTATTCTGAAGCCTATGAATGAGAGGATTGTGTAAAGAAGTTAATCTAAACGTCTCTACACAGTGGAATGCAGCTGGTGACTCCAAAGGGGACTGACCCGCCTCCGGAGCAGCCACGCCCTTGGAGGTCTGTGGAGGGGCCAGGCCAGGTCTGGAACTGGTTGAGTGCAGTCATGGAGGTGGCTCTGGAACAGTTCTTCATCTTCGTAGGGCTGCTGGTGTGCCTGGTGTACCTGGTGAAGTGTGTGAGATTCTCCAGATATATTTTCTGGCACTTCCAGAAAGTTTTGCCAAAGTCTTTCTTGAAGTCAATGGGACAATGGGCAGGTAAAGACAGCTTTCCATCTCTTGTTTCTTGTTATGTCTTATTATCATGTATATCTCAAAATATAAATTGCATTTTTTCCTTTTGAGAGCAAAGATGTAATTCTTTTGGGTGACTTTTATTTGGGTGTCTAGAAAGCATGAGTAAAACTGGAATTGTCTAAAAGAGAAGATGTGGGGCATGAGAAGAATTAAGTGGAAGAATGCCACCCAATTCTTGCCTCTGTGCTTGTTCCCTCATCCTTAGTAGTTGGGTTTTCTCCTTTTTGGAGTTTCTGGTGACACAAATAATAAGTACTGCAGAAATTTCCGCAACCTTTTCTCCAGATTTTTGAAGGCGCAGGGTACTGCCATTTTGTGGAAGGGTGTTTCAAAATTCAGAAATACAAATAATTTTACTTTACTTTATTTAAAAAAATTTCTCTGAGCCCTTTCATGAAGTGAGGGTATTACAAAATCAAGGTAACAAAGGTCCCTATAGGAAGACATGTTCAAGATGGTAGTCTGGTTTGTGTCCCAAGTAGATTAATCACTGCCTACAAAAGAATGGGATTTATCTTCTGGAACTACCACGCAGAATTTCAGCCTGATGACTGGGTTTAAGGTGAAAAGCATGAGGCTATGGTTTCAGCATCTCTTTGAATGAAGTGCTAAGGTTACATGAAGAAATCCAAGGAATCCAGTGACTTAAAAAAACAACCCAAAGAATTTAAACAGCTTTAAAGGTACCATATGCGGCTAAATAGGAGAGATTATAAACAACCTTATAGGGCTTCCAGGTAAAATATAGGATACTGAGTTAAATTTGAATTTTGGATAAATAAGGAATAATTTTTTAGTGTATGACATCCCAAATATTATGCAGGACATACTTATACTAAAAAATTATTTGCTGTTTACTTGAAACTCAAATTGAGCTGGGCATGCTGTATCTTTACTTGCTAAAGCTGGTAACTGTACAATCTTAGTAGCAGATATAAAACAATTGCCATATGGAAGTTGCTTGGAATGAAAAATGTGTTTTTTGAGATTAAGAATTCCTCCTATCAGTGAGGTCATATGATACATGTCTTTCTCTGATTGACTTATTTCGCTCAGCATAACACCCTCCAGTTCCATCCACTTCGTTGCAAGTAGGAGGGATGGGGTGCCTGGGTGATAGACACTGGGGAGGGTATGTGCTATGGTGAGCGCGGTGAATTGTGCAAGACTGTTGAATCACAGATCTGTACCTCTGAAAGAAATAATACATTATATGTTAAAAAAAGAAGAAGAAGAAGAAGATAGCAGGAGGGGAAGAATGAAGGGGGGAAAATCAGAGGGGGAGATGAACCATGAGAGACGATGGACTCTGAAAAACAAACTGAGGGTTCTAGAGGGGAGGGGGGTGGGGGGATGGGTTAATCTGGTGATCGGTATTAAAGAGGGTACGTACTGCATGGAGCACTGCGTGTTATGCACAAACAATGAATCATGGAACACTACATCAAAAACTAATGATGTAATGTATGGTGATTAACATAACAATACAATATTAAAAAAAAAAGAAAAATGTGTTTTTAACTGTTGCATGTTATGTTTGAAGTGTGTGTGTGTGTCTGTGAATACTCCTTCACTCTTGGGGAAGTATCTCCAGAAAACTTGCCAAATAGCTTGAACTTGAGTGCTCTGGATCCAAATACCCTGCTCCACACAGATCCAAATGCCCACACACTTGGCAGGGGGTGGGGTGGTTCTTAAAAGTCTGTACAAGGGCTGCTCATCAGTGTAAGGCAAAGCCCTTCCGAAAACACACACTCCAAAAGAAGTTCACATGGGGCCAGAGACAAGAGTATTTGTTGACTCACATTAAAAAAACGTAATCTTAACCTATTATTTGAGTCAATATTGAATAGAATTATCACTAGCAAGATTAAAACGTCTTTGAGCATAGGCAGATCTCTGGGAGAGCATATATTTCTGGTGGAGAGCCAGAAGAAAATCCAATTACTAAAGATGAAATTGTTTAACTCCTCAGAACTCTGTGGTTGATTAGAAAATTATGTCACTGGTGTATCTTTATAGAATTGTAGCCCCAAAATCAGATAGCTGGGTTTCAAGCCCTGTTGTTCTCATCATTTTTAGCAATGTGACCTTGACTGAGTTACTAACTTTCTCTCCCTCAGCTTCCTCCTCTATAAACTAAGGAAAACAATGGTCCCTGCATTATAAACTTGCTTTGAATATTAAATGAGATGATGCATCTAAAACACCTGAAACAGTACATGGCAGAAAGTAAGCACTCAATAAAAACCAGCCATTTATTGATGTTATTATCTTAACTATAGTACAGACCCTATACTGGGTGATTTGGAAGATTCCCATAAGGGAGGGGAAGGTGAGGCAGAAGATAACCCTGAGCATAGCACCTGTACCAAGAGGAACAGATAATATGCCTGGATTCACCTAGAAGGCCCCAAATGAACAAATAAAACTATCAGCCATTATGAAAATGAGAGTGCTCTGGGGCACTTAGGTGGCTCAGTAGGTTAAGTGTCTGACTCTTGATTTCAGCTCAGGTCATGATCTCAGGGTCATGAGATCAAGCAGCAAGTTGGATTCCGTGCTCAGCGTGGAGGCTGCTTGTCCCTCTCCTGCTCCTCCCCACCAACCCCCCACTCACACTCTTTCTCTCTCTCAAATAAATAAATAAAATCTTAAAAAAAAAAAGAAAGAAAATGAGAACACTCTGCCAGTGTGTTTCTGGAAGCTTGTACAGCTTGGCTCTTACTCTCTAATAAGCTAAATGTATGTTTTATTCACACTTGGAAAGTATACCCTCTGATTGTTGTTCAAAGGTAAATTGCAGATACATAAATACTTAACTGTAATATAATTTCAAATTGTGACATTCACTCGAATGAAGTTTACCCTAGAACTCAGTCATAAAATATGTGTGTTAATGTTGGATATAAAAGGACTCAGTCAATCTGATCATTACAGGTTAATCAATAGATACCCTGACTGCAGATTCTTCAGGTCCCTTTATTTCATTATATCACTTTTTGGCATTTCTGTGTTGTCCTCTTTGTTAAGTTCCTTATCTCCCATGGACTTTGAGTGCTGCTGTCCTGTGGGGGTGGCATGGGAAGAGGGAAACACTTGACTTTTAGGAAGAATCTTGAAATGTCCTTACCGTGAGAGTTGAGTGTGTAGGTAGAGAGATAATAGGGTACACCGTTTGGGGTCTGAATGAAATGTTCCCTGGCTGAGGTTCTTTGTTTCCTTTCGGAGGCTATCTTCCACAACCTTACCAACCCCTCCAAAAAAAAAACCAAAAAACAAAAAACCACCAAAACCGAAAGCTTCATGTGGAACATGTAATGAGGGGAGTCAGGGCTGGAAGCTCCAGAGTTGAGTGGAGTAGGGCTGTAGAGCAGAAGGGCACTGCTTTGAAATACTGTGTCTTAGGCAGTAAGCCTGCAAAAAAATGTAGCTGGTGTGAAAGAGCACTTTAAAGATTAAGTCTGTCCTTTAAAACCATCTCTGCTTTTTGCAGTGATCACTGGAGCAGGAGATGGGATTGGAAAAGCATATTCATTTGAGGTAAGTTTCGTTCTTTGAGAATTTCTCCCCCCTTATATTGAACACACTGTGATCACATGACAGGCACCCCCAACACTATGCTTCTGGTTATGAAAGCCACAGACATGAATTTATGAAGGCAAATATTTTCTATAAAAAAGAAAACTTAAAAATCATAATCTCACTCTCTGGATATCTTTTAAAAAAACACAGTGATATTCAGAGGTGCCAGGATCATCCCATAGGAGTTGTTCTAGGAATTTAGGGGACATTGTTATTTTCTAGTGTAATTGTACCATAAAAGTTCATATGTTTAAATACAATTAAAACTATAAAACACTTTTTATTTATTCTTACATTATAGGTAGGGTATATATTGATTTTTAAAAAATTATTTGTGTAGGCAGGACATATTACCTATGACCATCATTTCAAGAAGATTAATGGGCATTATAAAATATTACGTAAAGGGGTGCCTGGGTGGCTCAGTTGTTAAGTATCTGCCTTCGGCTCAGGTCATGATCCCAGGGTCCTGGGATCGAGCCCCGCATCGGGCTCCCTGCTCTGCGGGAAGCCTGCTTCTCCCTCTCCCACTCCCCCTGCTTGTGTTCCCTCTCTCGCTGTGTCTCTCTCTGTCAAATAAATAAATAAATAAATAAAATCTTTAAAAAAATATTACATAAAGAGAGGATATGATAGGGCTGAGAGTCACTGGAATTCGATTAGTGTCTCTGAGTATTTCCTTCCAGGCTTTGTGTTTATCTGCAGATAGATAGATATATGGGTAGTTATAGTTTTTAAAAATGCCCTTATAGTATATGTAGTTTTGTATGTTGCCATTGCTGTTATGATGATTATTCTTACAAATTCCGCATTTTCATTCATGAAATATTGTGTCCTGGAATTCCTATTATTTTATTTCTTCATCCTGCCCTATTACACTGACCTCTAGAATCACGTAAAAGACAACACAAGAAATAGAATCCTTGAAATTACAAAAGGAGGAAGAAATCAATAATGCTTAAAAATATAATGAGAAGCACTTCAGTTACAAAAACTGCATTCAACGACAGGCAGAACCCATGCATCCTCTTGTCCCCAAAGGCTTGAGTCATGATAGACACCAAAACATCTTGTGTGAAGTGGACAGTGCAAGGTATATCAGCGGCACTGTTTCAGGTCTGTCCCCCAACTTCCAAGGATACTTTCTTTGGTATGGACATTCTGCTTCAACTCTTTTTTGGGCTAAAGAGTTCTTTGCTCTTACCCTAATTTGTATATAGCAACTCTCTGATGACTGCTAGTGCCCAACACTCAGAAGACAGGTGGTCATATTTGAGTGTGGAGGTTAGGGAGACCACTCAGCAACCACTTTCCAAAGCCTTGTGTCTTCCTCACCCAAAAATCAGAAGGAAAGCTTTTCCAGCTATTTGCATTAGAACTATATCCCCTTTTATATAACTATTTTCCACCTTAGACCAGGTTTCTGGAGAGGACCTAACCCCTCATCCAAAAGATCCATGGCCTTACCTCTTTCTTAGTTCTCTGGATTGCCTTGAAATCCAGGTTCTTTCTTCATGATTTTCCAGATTCTTTCTTCAAAGTCATGCTGACCTGACCTACTAATGGTCCCCCTTGGTGGTTTAAGACAAGGGACACTTTTCTTTCTACTTAGAGGAGACCATGTGAAAACTTAGCCATTCATTTCTTCACTGTTTCCAAAAGCAATGGCCTGGGGGTCAGGAACTGTGGGTTCCTGTCCTCGCTCTAGCACTAACTGTCTGGAGATTTTGGACAAGTTGCCCATCCTCTCTGGGCTTTTGTGTCTTTACCAGGGCAAAAAGTACCTCCCAACTTCTAAGTTGTTTCTGTTCTAACTAATTCTTGCTTTGCTCTTTCTTGTAGAATCTTTTTCTTCATTTCCTGTTGTTCTTTTCTAAGTCTGTGTTAAACAGTTTTCTGGGTTTCTTACTTCTTTATTCAGGCTCTTCGCCTTCCAGAGAGCCTGTTCTGGTCTGCTTGCTAACTGCTTCTCCAAGAAAAGCAGTTCAGAGTGAGATGCTGCAGATCGACCAACCTAAGGGTTAAGAGCCCAAGGTTGGTAATCAATCAGACATCTGTGCGTTCAAACCCTGCTTCATATGCTTACTGCAGAATTGCCACATCAATAAACTGGAGGCCCTGGTAATCCCACTGCAGCTTTTGTAAAGGTTTAATGGGATGAAGTGGGCAAAATGCTTTGCCTAGAGTAAGCTCTCCAAGGTTAGCCTATTATTACTGGATGTTTAAACTGTTCTTCCTTTCCTAGATACTGTGTTTTTTGAGAGGGACAATGTATTGTACTTACCCATATTTGTACTCTTCCCTTTATTCTTTCTTTCCCCCTGATATTCCAAGTTTTGTTCTTTTGTCATATCCTTTCTGTTTAGAGAACTACCTCTAGCTATTTTTTAGAGTAGGTCTCTTTGTTTTCCTTCATCAGAGAATGTCTCGATTTCCCCTTCATTCCTGAAGGATAATTTTGCTGGGTATAGGATTTAGCACTGACAGTCCTTTGCTTTCAGCACTTGCAAAATGTTGTGTGGTTTTCTCTCTCACTGCTTTCAGGACTTTTCCCCTTGACTTTAGTTTTCTTTCTTTCTTTTTTTTTTTTTTAAAGATTTTATTTATTTATTTGACAGAGAGAGAGATAGCGAGAGCAGGAACACAAGCAGGGGGAATGGGAGAGGGAGAAGCAGGCTTCTTGCCGAGCAGAGAGCCCGATGTGGGACTTGATCCCAGGACCCTGGGATCATGACCTGAGCCAAAGGCAGACACTTAATGACTGAGCCACCCAGGCGCCCTTGACTTTAGTTTTCTTAGTTATGATGTTTCTTGGAGTGGATTTCTTTAGGTTTATCTTGTTTGAGGTTTGCTCAGTCTCTTGAATTCTTTCATTATTCTTTGAATACTTTTTCTGCCCAGCCTTCTTTTCTTTTTCTGGGACTCCAATCACATGGATGTTAGATCTTTCTTAGAGTCTAATGGGTTTCTGAAATGCTGTTCATTTTCTTCATTGTATTTTTTTCTGTTGTTTAGAGTGGGTAATTTCTATTTTTTTATCTTTAAATCCACTGATTCTTTCCTTGGTCACCTCCATTCTGCTGAGCCCATCCATTGAGTTTTTAATTCATTTATTTTATTTTCAGCCCTAAAGTTTCCATTTGGTTCTTCTTTATATCTTCTATTTCTTTACTGAAACTTTCTCTTTTTGCATTTGTTTTAAAAATGTTTGTAATTGCTTGTCAAAGCATTCTTAGGATGGTTGTTTTAGAATCCTAGTCCAAGGGACGCCTGGGTGGCTCGGTCAGTTAAGTGTCTGCCTTTGGCTCAGGTCATGATCCCAGAGTTCTGGGATTGAGTCCCGCATCGGGCTCCTTGCTCAGCGGGGAGCCTGCTTCTCCCTCTGCCAAAGAAATAAATAAAATCTTAAAAAATAATAAAAAATAAAATCCTAGTCCAAGAAGCCTAACATCTGTGTCATCTTAATGTGGCCATCTATTGAATGTTTTTATCTCACTCAAATTGAGATCTTCCTGGTTCTTGGTACGATGAGTGACTTTTGAATTGCAGTCATTTTTAGTTTTCTGTTATGAGACTCTGGATCTTATTTAAATCTCTTTTGGGTCTGTACCAACACTGCTTCAGTGGAGGGAGGAGGGGGTGCCAGCTTGTTCCTACCAGGTAAGGTAGAAGCCCAGGCTTTCTACTTGGCCTCCGTTACAGGGGTGGGGGTGGGGCGGATGCTGCCTCCTTGTTACTGCTGAGTGGGGGTGGGAGTGCTGGCTCCCTACTGGGCCACTCAGGGTGGGAGAGGCAAGAGTGCTTCCTTACTGCTCCCCAGGAGGCTGCCAGTGGTATTTGGAGGAGGTGGCCTCACCACCACTTGGGTGGTAGTGAAAGTCCTGACTCTCCACTAGGCTTCCTCCTAATTGCAGGGGTAGGGTGAAGGGAGGGAAGGGAAAGGTTGCCTTGGCACTGCCAGGTGGAAGTAGGAGTTCAGGTGTGCTGACATGGGAGGGGGTGGCTGGGATGGACGTTCTACCTCCCCACTCAGCCTTCCCTGATGCCAACCTGGCCAGGGGGGTCTCACCAGTGTGGAAGTCTCAGCTCCTGACTCGGCCTTTGGGGGTGGGGGTGGGGTGGGACCATGGGGTGTTTGGTTTTTTGTTTGTTTGTTTGTTTTTGAGCTGTTTACCTGGAGTAAAGCAGTTCTTTTCTAAAGTTTGCTGCCTTGCTAGGCTGTTTCTTTTCTTGTCCTTTGGTTAGAGAGAGCAGGCTTTTGTTGGGACTTCTTAGGTCTGTACCTGTGGTGTTTCTGAATTGCCAGCTTTTCCACCAATAAGTCTGGGATATATGAGACAAAAAGAAAACCCAGGAACTCACCACTGTGCTGTTTCTTGGGTCTTGAGGCCCCTTGCTCATCTTCTCCCTATCTTTTAGAGTCATTTGATCTTTATGTATTATGTCCAGGTTGCACAATTAAGTTGCATATCATGGTAGGAATGGGGAAAAGTACTTCTCCATCTTTCTGGGAGCCTATTCTATATTGCATTTTAGCTTAATCTGTATTTATATTTAGTGTGGCAAGAGAGGCTCTGCCTCCTGCTAAGGGAATTTCAAGTAGTACTGGAAGAAGGTGGAAAACAATTGTGGCGAGGGACGGGCTGGGGGAGGAAGCGCGAGACGGGTCCACTATTCCCTCCCTCTGAGGCCGCTGCTTTCACACCAGTTTTGCTCCTTTAGCACCTGAATTTCTTTTATTCACTGCCATACAGAGGAGGTCTGTTTTCCTGGCGTTCCTACCACCTGTTACAGATTAGCAGCAACAAGCACTTTCCCTGAGGCAGGCCCTAACATAAAGAAGGGAACAGTGCACATTCATCTCTGCCGCAGCCCTTCTGTAGGACGGTGCCACAGTGCATTCTGGGAAAGGGAGGGCTTCTGCCCCTCAACTCCCTGAAGGAAAAGAGGCAAAACCT